TCACCAGGAGACAGGGAGTTCTAGTCCCGCCTTAGGCACGAAAGCCAGCTGGGTGACTTTGGTCCAATCCCCAGGAAGGAGACGGGGAGTTCTAGTCCCGCCTTAGGCACGAAAGCCAGCTGGGTGACTTTGGTCCAATCCCCAGGAAGGAGACGGGGAGTTCTAGTCCCGCCTTAGGCATGATAGGTGGGTCAGATAGCTCCACCGCCTGGAATTGATTTGTAAAATAGCGAAGACGGGAGGGAAAGAAACGCAAAAGGAAAGGAAGGAAAACCTGACCGGACTCTTCTCCTCCCCTCCAGGTTCACAGCGGACGTCCGGTCGGTGCTCAGCCGCAACCTGCACCAACATCGCCTCTGGTGACGGCGGCTCCTCCTTTCTTCAGGGTTTGGCCACAGCCCTCTGCCTTATCCCGGGACCCGCTCCTCTCGCCAGGCGCCACGGCCGACAACACCCTCCCGCCGCCAAAAAAAACCCCCCACCTTCAGACTCAGCCGGCCAGGGGGGTGTCACGGGGGGAGCGTGACTCCAATTTTGGCTTTGCCCCGTGGCCGCCGCCCTGCTACTGGCAGTGACTCAGCTGGGCAGAGGGGCTCGATGCCGGGATGCGCCAAGAAAGGGGGTGAAAATCGCGCCAGCCGCGGCGAGCGATGCTTGGACGGACTTCGTTATTTTCTCGCCCCCTTCCTGCAAGGAGGCTGTGTTGCTCAGTGGGAAGAGCCCCCACCCCCCGCCTCCTCCTCCAGCTTTCCCGTGTTTTTTTTTTCCCCGTTCTCCCCCCCCTTGCAATCTTGGGGAGGGGACGGCTACCTCCGCGAAGGAGCTTCCAGGACCCCGACTCGTTTGGTATAAGTGGGTTGGCCCTCCCACTTGGATCGGTGCAGCAGACGGGTCCTCCTCCTCCTCCTCCTGATGCCAGGATGGCCTGGGTTTTTAACTTTATTTCTCGGACTTTGGGGAGGGGGCTGGGGGTCTCGGAGGAGGAGAAACTGACTTGGACTGAGGGGAGGGGAGGGGCGGAAGGGGAATAAAAGAAAAGAAAAGCAAACGAAAAAAAAATAAGGAAAGAAAAACACCGAAAGCTTCTCCTCGTTGGCTGTTCTTCCCGTCTGGAAAGGAGTCGGCGGAAGGTGGGCAAGGCAGGCAGGCCGGCCGGCGGCTGGTTCCCTTAAGAGCGGCTTCTCCACTTAATGTCCGTTCATTTAGTGACCACACAAAAAAGGTTAACCACAAAAAAAGGAGAGAGACGTAAGACCACGTTTCACCCGTCCCTCTCTTCCTCCCTCCATTTTCTCCTTCCCTCCTTCTCTGCTCCCACTTTTTCTCCCTCCCTCTCGTCCTGCCTTCCATCCATCCATCCTTAATTCCCTTCTTTCCATCCCTCCTTTCCCCCGTCCTCCCTCCCTCCCTCCTCTCTTCTCCCCCCTCTCTCTTCTTACCTCTTTTCTTCCCCCTCCATCCATCCATCCCTTCTTTTTCCCCCTCTCCCCCTCCCTATTTCTCTCCCTTTCCCCCCCCCCCCTCAAGCGACCAAACTTGAGAGGCTTTGGCACACGGGCACGCACTTACGACGGTGTGCCACGTCTCCGGTGGGGGGTGGGGGGTGGTCACGCGGTCCCCTTTTGCAACCCAAAAGTCAAACGGATTCACTTCATGCCACCGTGCTGCTGACTTCTATAACGTCGGTCGTGATTCAGTTTCACAAAATTTGGGCCGGGGCGGCTGTAAACACGGGGGGGGGGGGGGGGAGAGGAGGCAAGGGTGTCGCGCCCCCACGAAAGAGGGGGGGGGGGCGGGGGGGGGTGAGGGGGGGGGGGGGGGGGGGGGGCGACACTAGACAACGGTCTCGCTTAGCAACAAGAAATGCCGAGGGTTCCATTGGAGTCGTAAGTCGGGGACCAGCTGTGTTTCCCCTCCCCAAGGTTGTGTGCTTGTGTCTGCAAAAAAGGGGAAGGTTGGGTGTCAAACTGGGCTGGCCCAGAGGTGGAGGTCTCCCCTCACAATCGGGGGGGCTTGGGAGTTCGATCCTAGGCAGAGGCTATTGTTTGGAATAGAGAGACTCCTGCTTTGGGGGTGGGGGTTGGGCTAGATGACCTCCAAGGCTCCTTCCAACTCCTTATGAGCAGAGGGTTGGACTATATGACCTACAAGGCACCTTCCAATTCTTGTTCTTGTGAGCAGAGGGTTGGACTAGATGACCTACAAGGCCCCTTCCAACTCTTGTTCTTATGAGCAGAGGGTTGGACTAGATGACC